TATCTATCTATCTATCTATCTATCTATCTATCTATCTATCTATCTATCTATCTATCTATCTATCTATCTATCTATCTATCTAAGGGTTGTGTTCTGCCTTGCATGGTGAGTTTGTCTTGCTATGTTCTCCATGTGCAACTTGGAGGTCACTGGCACAAATTTCCAGCAACATTGCAGCTTCTTCTTCCCCATGGTGGTGGGGCCATGAAGCAAAGCACGCCCATTTACTTAGTCCACCTCCCTCTCAGCAAGCAGCGGCTTGTGATTGGATGGCGGCTGCCTGCTTTGAAATTCCTCCCCTCACATCCTCAGTCTGTGGATTAAGCAGTGAGAGACTGAGAGGCAGCTGCAGCGACGTTCAGAAACACGCACCGCGCAGGACAGCTGCACACGATTTCTTCTGCTGGCTTATTCTAACAACTTTCCTCTTATTTTGTTGTTCTTTTTCAAACCCATTTCCTGGATAAAGGAGTATTTGGCGAGTATCTTTGAAGGATGACACTTTGGGTATTTCTTATTTCATAAAAGGGTTTGTTTTTGCGACGGAGGACGCATCTTTTGCGCGCTGCTGATTTTGGATTAACGCACTTTATTCTGCTCAATTTATCATCATGAAATGTGCAGATAAATGAAACTAAACCCCGCGCCCGCTCCCCGCATGTCATTGGCTCTGTTTACGCCCAGACCCAGATGAGAGATCTCCCTCGTGGATCTGAAGTGCTTTTACGCAGTCAGTCCCCGGAGCGCAGCGGTGATCCACACCGGAGAAGAGCAGAGAGCGCGTCTTCTCCCAAACCTGCGTCTCTTCTTTCTCCCTCGGACCCGTCACGTCAAGCTAAAAGGCTTCCTGTCCGCATTGTAAATATGTTGACGGCTCACAGCGGTCACCTGCTGCACCCGGAGTACCTACAGCCCCTCACCTCTGCGCCGGTTAGCATTGAAGTAAGTTTTCTTTTTATATTAATATAAATACATATATATATAAATCTATTTAAAAAAAAAAAAACAACCTTCGTTGGCCTCATTGTTTGTTTTAATTCCTGCTTCACATAAACAGTCTTGACTAATTAGATTCTTGAAAAAAAAATTTTTTTTTATTATTTCTGTTTCAGAAGATGCCTTTAAATGCACTCTATGTCCAGTAGGTAGCTTAAAGTGCATATATTTAATAAAAAAAATCAAAAAGTATAATTTATATTATATGTAGATTTACAATGCCATAAATATATTTATGTTTTTATTCTCACTCTAGAATTTAGACTCAAATAATATTTTATTTAAAGCAAATAAAGTTCACCCTTTTACCTCTCTTGTTCTCCTTAGCTGGATGCCAAGAAGAGTCCTTTGGCTCTGCTGGCCCAGACCTGCTCTCAAATTGGCAAACCTGACCCTCCCTCCTCCTCCAAGTTGACCTCCCTCTCTGCTGGCGCTCTAGGAGACAAGGAGTCGTCTGGCAGGTCATCCAAGCCCGGGGAGCAGCACCAGTCCTTGGATGACAAATCCAGCTTCAAGCCCTACTCAAAGTCATCAAGTGACTGTCGTAAAGATGTGACAAAGGGGGCATCGGATAAAGCAGCTTTAAGAGTGCCGAATGGAAATTCCAGTGGAGAAAATACTCCATGTCAATCTTTTTCCTCCCATTCCAGATCACCAAACTCCAGCTCTCCTCTGCCCCAAAGAAAGAGCCATTCCCCTTCCATGCAGCCTTCATCACACTCCCAGACACCGCATACAGACAGCAAACCGGAGCAGGCGAGCTTGGATAATAGCAGCAATGCACCTGGCAAAAAAGACTCTGATGTAGCAAAGCCAAGTTTGGATAGTGCTCACTTAGCCAACTCAAGCCAAGTAAGGGCCAGTGCAAACTCAAGCAATGCCAGCTCAGCCAGCAGCCCACGGCCAGAGAGCAAGACGGACCCTCAGGGCTCTTCCCAGCCTGCTCTCAGCTCTGGACACATTGCTCCAGTCTCTCCATTTAAACCAGGACATTCTGTCTTCCCCTTACCCCCAGCTACTATGGGATACCACGGTTCTATTGTAGGGGCCTACACCAGCTATCCCTCACATTTTGTTCCCAGCTTGGATCCCACCAAGTCCAGTTTGGGCTTAGGAATTCAAGGAAAGCACCCCAGCTCCAGCCCCCTAACCGGAGCTTCCCCACCATCTCTGATGCAAGGTTTGTGTCGAGACCCTTACTGTTTGAGTTACCCCAACGCCCCCCACCTTGGTGGTAGTAACTGCTCCACGTGTATCCATGACCCTTCAAGCCTCAAGTCAGGTTTTCCTCTGGTTTACCCCTCACACCACCTTCACTCCTTACACTCTGGCTCCCTGTCATCCAGCAGCACACCCTCCCTTTCCCACCCCCTTTACACATATGGTTTCATGGTCCCAAATGAGCCCCTTCCGCATGCTTGTAACTGGGTATCTGTCAGTGGGCCTTGTGATAAGCGTTTTGCCACATCAGAGGAGCTTTTGGCTCATTTGCGTACCCACACTTCCCTGCCTGGGATGGTGGACAGCAAGCTGCTATCAGCCTATCCCTCAGTTTCTTCTTCAGCCTCATGCCATCTTCACTTGCCCCCTCCCAGCAGCCCCGGAGCTCTGCCCAGCTCCTTCTCTCTACGAGGCTCCCCAGGATTAGGCTTGGCACGTTACCATCCCTATGGCAAATCACACTTGCCAGGCAACCCAGGACTTCAAATGCCAACTCTTCCCTCTTCCTCAGCCTACTACTCCCCCTATGCCCTCTACAGCCAGAGACTTGGATCTGCCTCGGCCCTGGGATATCAGTGATTAACCCAAACACCATAATCACTCATCTTCCACAGGCACCAGCTTGGACTGTTGAGACTGAAATAAAGATAGATTCATGTGAGTGAGGTCATTGTAAGTGCAAGGCATCATGCCAGTTGGCCTGCCAGGAATACCACCTGTTTGCCTCAGGATCGTGACCAATGCTCCAGAGGGAAAAGGCCTCCGAAAGATTGTCTGCAACAGAATCCAAGAGACCAACAGACTTTGATTAAAGACAGCAGAAATCTGATCTTGAAAAATATGAGATTATCTCCTGAGTTTGGAGTTTTGCTTTGATTTTAAAACGTCTTCTCTCCAGAATTAAAAATCTGTATTTATTTTGTATTGAAGCGCTTTGTTTTCCGCTAAAGAACAGGGGTGACTTTCTGAAGTTTTCCAAGAGAGAAAGATTGATTTAACTATAGTACCGTTTTTATCATAACATTGACAAATAAAAATATAGATTAATTGTGAGGCTTAATTCTAAGGAGCTGTTTTGTTAGATCTCCTTCACTGTCTCCCATTTTCTGTTTTGTTTTTCATTTCCTGAAATCATCGATTGCGTACGGCCACTTCAGAGATTTGCATGTCTGAGAAATATCTTGAACAATGCAACAGTTATTTCTATTTGTAAATATACAAAGATGTAATATTTTTTCAAGCTTACAAGAGATCAGCAAGTTGTTGAGATGTCACCTATGAATATGGTGCAAAATTAAAAATGACATGAACAAAAATAATGGCTGTCCTGTCTGACCAACAGGAAAAGGTCATATTTTGAATAAATGATTCTTGGTTGCATTTTAACTTGTTTTCTTCCTCTCATTGAATTCTATATATGGCACCTTTTTGTTTCCAGCCTCGTAGGACACAGTAAATCTCGTTTGACTGCAGCGCAGCACTTATCTAGGACTATCTATCATTTCGGCTCTTACAGCTGTGCTGTATCTGGCCATGAGTAATATTTCATGGCACATATCACTTGACAGGTCTGTCCCTAAGAGGGCATCTTGGGTCACATTAGTCCTGTTAGCTATTCTCCAAGGACTTTCATCTCTCCTCCTTCCATCACCCCTGCCTTGCTTTTGTTGTTTGCAGCTTTTAATTGCTGATTCTAGTTTGCAAAGGTGAGAAAGAAACAGCCTCCTCAGCAAAGTGCATGTGCTGTGTGGGTCACTGGGACTTCAATAATGACCTCAGGGAGGTGTCGACCTAGGATCTCCTCACACATCTGATGGATTGGCCTGTAGCACAAAGGCCATAGCTGACAATGGGAGGTGGTTAATAGAGAAATATTCATCAAGACACTGACACGTCCCCTGAGGAGTGCAGACTTTCTCTTACAGGAAGCCCCTGATCTCATGAGAAGACTTGTTTTCTTGCTGCTTTAGCAATCTTTGGTTTTAGGAACTAATTCAAATTGAAGGACTTGGTTTATCTGGGATTTGAATGTTTGGTCCCTGATAGTGTGTCTCCTCTATTTGGCTGTCAGGGTGTTCAAGGATTAAGTCTATGTGGCAGCTATTGACCCGGACTCCCAGACTCCTCTGGTCTCGTGGTTCATTAGCACTCCACTCAGGGAAGAGCCAAGCACAGGTGTCACTTGACAGGACCATTAAGAAAATGGATGACCCTCCAAATCAGCATGCAGCAAGGTCACAGCACCCTGATCGCTCTTTGGGACGTAGCACTTAATTCTCTCTTTTTTTAGAACTGTTACAATATACTTACAGAACCTTTTTATAGCTGTAACCATTGCTTAATAAAATATAATGTAGAGATAATTTCTTCTAGACATGTAGACGTAATTACTTTGTTGCTACTATGCTTTTAGTGCTCAACAAATGTATTTTAATCTACAAAGTTGAACCAGTGACATCTAAAGAAGTTTGTCGCCCCCTAAAGTTAGATTAGTAAAGTACAGCGCAAAATGGCCAGAAAACATTAGTTATTTGCCAAAAATATAAACAAAACTTGATCCCACCAGATCCAATCCAAACTTTATGCTTTCTTACATTAAAACTGTATGTGAAGCAGGAAGTTAAGCATACATGGATTTAAACTAAATTTAAAAACTCTGATTTTCAGTTGATTTACTGTGGTTCTGGACCTAAATACCTATAGATGCTTTGATTTAAGCCATTCCAACACATTTTTTAGAAGTTTTTTTCCCCGCACTTCACTATATTTAGTCATTCTATCTTCTCAAGTAGCCCTGTCTTGCTGAACAAAAGCATCCATGAACATTGATGGACATGGAGCCTCCATGGTAATATGTAGATTTAATTTTCCTCATAAAAACAATTTTATTTGGGTCAGAAAGTAAAGTTTTGATCCTATCTGACCAGAATACTTTCTTCGATGGGTTTACTCTGTCCTCATCAGGTCTTTGGCAAACTGGAAACATGGCTTGCTTTAGCTTTCTTTGATTTTGTCTTGCTACAACTTTATAAAAGTTTATATAAAACCTGTTTAGTCATGGCCCATCATGTACATGCACACAATAAGATGCGTTGCCACTAAGACAATACTTAGAGTTAAAGCGAGCCATGAGCCTCTGCAACTGTTCCCAACCAATATGGTACAGATTCCCTTTTCAGATCACTGCATTACCTCCAGGGCGGTGATTCTCAACCTTTTTGAGTCACAAGCCCAAATTTCACATGCAGTGCTGTTTACAACCCCCCACCCCCCGTGCCCGATCAATGGGGTTACATTTACATGATCAAACAAGCCTTAACTCACTTCAGCTTTTAGTGTCTATCATCTTATTTGAAACACATTGGGATTTTTTGAAAAACATTAAGCAGCATCAAGAAGATAACTTCCAAACCATACCTACAATGGCTACTATATCCCATCATTTTGCTGTTAAAAAGTAAACAAGTTACACAAACTTTATTTTCTTTTTAATTAAGTAGAACGAAAACAGCACATGCTTAACTTTAACAAAACACACCAGAAAAAAGCGCACATTTAATTTTAAACATCTATGTTTCAAGGAGCTTAAGCATGCAAAATGACTTCCTGGTCAAAAGCAGAGAAGTTTTTCTGCAACTATTTAATGTGCAGCTGGGCCTGCTGGTTTCAACAGAGCAGCTGCATTCTTGGCTTCGTGTTAAAAATGGCCACGTGGACATTACTCTCAACTCTTAGGAGTCGGGATCTGGGTTTTTTTTTCATGTGTGTCAGCACTAAAAGGTCTTTTCGGACAGCTATGTGGATGCAAATAGAAACAGGACATCAGTTGCTGCTTTTGGTAGTGCTGTGTGCTCTGTGGCTGCTGACAAACAGAATTCATGCAGCGTGCATGAGGAGAAGGCAGTTTGTAATGGATTAGAGGTGAGATTGAACAGGGTGTCCTTTAACTCTGATGACAGGGAAGGTGGTGAAAGGCCTATCCAGTCCTTTTCTGGGGAATCCTTATTAGTGAAGTACTTTTTGAAACTTTCAAGCCAGCACCTGAAGTGAGAAGCAATAATTGCTTTTGTACTTTGAACCGCTATGTTGTCTCTCCATGAAGTCCTCAAGCTCTGGAAACTTTTCTACATTTCCACCGTCCGCTTTCTTTCTCTTAAATACTGTGTCCTTAGCAAACTGATTGGTTGTCGTTGTTTTGGTGAATGGCCAACAGTAACAACAGCTTTGAGTAATAAAATGCCTGTGAGACCAACGGCTTGCCTCCTCCTAATGTCTGGTTTGAGATTAAAATTTTTCCAAAAAAGATTTGCCAGTCCCAAGGAATCATCTTGCAACCCAAATTGGGGTCTGGACCCCAAGGTTGAGAATGGCTGCTCTAGGGTTGCAACAGGCCTCTTAACTGCTTCTCTGATCAACGCTCTGTGTGCCACGGCTAAGTAAATTGCTTTTAAAAGCTAGCTTTCCTTAACAACTTTGTCCTTGCTTGTCTCCTATGTTCTTTGGTCTTCGTGACACTGTTTGTTTACAAACAAACCCCTGAGGGTTTCACATAATTGGTCTTATGATGTGTTCACACCGAATGCTGTCGCAACGTTGTGGTGAATTCACATAGAATCCCTTTACAAACTGCACTGTAAATGGCGGTGAAGTGGCCAGAGGTGAACCCCAAGCGGTGAGAGCGTTCACTGCTCCTCCCTCACCTCTTGCGACTATAAAGAGCAAGTTTGTTGTCATACAACAGCACCACATGGAGAGAGAGCGGAGCGGTGATTGCTGAAGTTAAAAGAATCTGAACTTTTCTATAAAATCGTGACACGAGAGCCAATCAGGCACTGGTTGTAGGTTAAGCTTTTTTCAAAAATGGAATAAAGAGATAAACAATATTAATGAAGGTAATTGGGGGGATAGTTAACTTCTGGGTGAGCTAAAAATAATCTTTAATATCTCTGAAACAACAGCATGTGATTTTTTTATTTGTACTTTTTTTATTTATACAAATGACCATTTAAAATGCACAAACCTGCACTAAAGAAGCAAAAACCATTCAGTCTGTTTGCTGAGTTTTTCAATGAGACATACTGATTTTTGAAGTAAAAAATGTAAAGAATTCAATGAGACACAGTGATTTTGAAAGTATGTATGAAAAAATACTCTTTGACACTCTTTTTAACTTGCTAGCTCATAGGTAGAGCCTTTTCTTTACGCTGGAGTCGATCAGCATGAAGTACAATGTGTCTCCGTGAAGCAAGGCTGAACAAAGCTCAATAACCAAAACCATATGTAACAGATACAGGAAACATCAGGTTGTAAATCTAAGTAACATGTCAGGACAGGATCCAAGATCTTATTATATTTGTCCTTCTGATTCTGAATAAAACCATGAATATTTGCAAGACTGAGACAGGAAATGAGTACAGAAAGTCATTGAGAATATCACTAGGAGGAGCAGAAGTCTTCCATAAACTCTGCTTTGCATCTTATAATGGAGGTTTGTAAGGCAGCTGGTGCTGGGATGTCATTTCTAGAACTGTACAGAGTGCTGGTTACGTTGGCCTGGATTTTGAGGATGATCTTAGGTCGGATGGGGGGGTCGAAGTCTGTACTTGGGGAGGTTGAATTTACCTTCAGTTTACCTTCGTCCATCAAATGGTGCTTTCACTCCATCCCGATGCTCATCAATCTCCAACCCCCACACACACCTACTACCCCAGCTGAGTCAACAGCATGCCCTCCATTTATGTCACCTCTGTTTGTGTGTGCATGTGTGTTTGGTGGAAAGGGGGGGAGGAGGGGGGTTATTTAGCCTCATTCTTTTGTTCACAGAGTACTTTTGAGACCATATTGTGGGCATCAGCTGTACACTCTTTTTGTTTTTGTGAGTGATTGTAAGTACAATATGGGTCTAAGTACAATATATATATATATATATATATAAATCCTGCCACTTTTTAATTTATTGAATATGTGGCCGTTTGGGCTTTTCATACATGCTCTAGTCACAATTGATCCCATTTATAGACGTTTGCTTGTAGATTCAAGCACAAAATATTTTGGTCAAAACCTTACTCAACCCTTTGTCAACCAAACGGATGCCTTGTCAACCAAACGGATGACCATTTGGTGTTGGAGATTGAAGGTAGACAAAGCAGTTAAAGTATTAAGCAGTTTAGGCTGTACTGCAGGACTGTCTATCTATTCGCCTCTACTGCAGCAACAGCTGCCTGATGCAGCTCCGGATGCGCCCGGTCACGTCAGTCAAATTTAAAACTCTTTACAATACGTGGAGCAGGTTCAATTGAATTTCATTCAGTTTATTTATATAGTGCCAATTCACAACACATGTCGCCTAAAGACACTTTACAGTTACAATCATACAG